CCCCAGCAGTCTCCTTGCCAAAAGTGTCTAGCCTGGTTCTAAACATGACACGTGATAACCAGACGCAATATAGGGACTCTGATTAGATTGGAGGAGTGGGGCAGTTATAAGCACTTTTATAAACAAATTTAAATTTGGCCATAATATTAGGTTACATTATTAAATCAGTGTCACATTTCTTGGGTGTGATAAGAGGGAGGCAATGATGGAACAGAAAATGCTTATTCTCGAGGGATGGCTGCTAAAATGATTGGGTAAAGTGTACCACCTCTGCAAGCTGCTTTCCAACAGTTCAGCTGGCAGATTGGTATATACATACAATAAACAATTGAAAAATATTATCAGTCAAGAAAAGAGTTTTAACAAATTATGTTTTGCTTTTCTTTAAAGGCACTTAGGACACACACTCCTGATGGCAAATTCAAAAATGAAACTACAGCTCATCAGAGCCAGGCTTGCTTTACATTTCTTAGAGATTGTTTTAAAATTGTGCTGCAGTTTAGACTCAAGTACAGGTTTATTTGGCAGTGAAGGGTTCTGTACCAGCTTGATTGCTTTCTTTAGGTTAAGGAAGCCAGGCACCGAGTTCGCACTCTATCTTGATGAATTATGTTTTTGTTCATCGTCTTTAAATGGTTTGGTTCTGGATAGATAGATATATTTCACACTTATGCTGCTGCTCCTAGGACTGTCGCCTCTTAAACTTTTTAAGACCTTTCCCCTGATGGCACCAGAGGAGGATTGCAAGCCCCTGGGGTCTGTCGGTATTACCTGGTTTTGTCTTGAAAATTCATATACCTTTTACTCTCTATTCTCTACCCAGTGCTTTTAATCTAAAAGTCCTCTCCCACATTTGTAGTTAAAATGAACATGGCAGAAAGACCTTAACCTCTTATTTCTAGTTCGATAAAATTTCAAATAATATTATTTGTAAACAGCGCCTTCAGTTTATTTATTCATTATTTATTAAGCAAAAGTTGGTGCCGGGGAGACAGTGATGGGTGAAACGGTCCCAGTTCCTGCTGTCAGGGCGATTCCAACCAATGGGGAGCCGAACAGGTCTGCACGCAGACCGCCTCAGTGCCCTGAAGGGAGGGGACAGAGGCCGAGATGCATGTGGAGAGGACCCTGGGATGGCAGGCTGTTTGAGCCAACACCACAGGATTAGTGGAGTCAGCCAAACAAAGACTGTAAACTGAGCTGGGCCACCGCCTGCCTGTCAGAAGGCCTTCAGGATCCTTCAGTAGTTTCCTCCTTGCCTGCAGGAAGAATGCAGGGTCTGCCAGAGGTCCCCTCTGATCATTGCCACATTAGTCCCTGTGCTCCCACCCACAGTAAAGTCTCTGCAGTTCTCTAGGATTCCTGGGGTCTGTGACCCTTGTGTTGCACATACTCTTCTCTTGGCCTGAACTGCTCATAATCCCTTGCCTATGTGATGATATGCTTCTCGTCCTTATGCTTAATTGATTCTCCTACAGACTCCACAGCACCTTGCACCGTCCACATCCCTGCACTTTATGTGTGGCTGTGATTAGTCTCCTTCACATGACAGAAACCCTTCAAGGGGCCAGGGCTTGTTTTTCCATCATTGTACCTGCCTATAATTGTACCTCTGTCAAGCAGATGTTTCTCAAGTGACCAGAATGATAAATCCCTTCATGGGATTGTCAGTCTTTGTGGTGCCTGGTGCCTCAGCTTCACCCAGAAGTCATTGTTCAAAAATCCAGATTCAAGGACCCCACTTGCAACTTTGACTAACCAAGATTGGGTAAATGCAGAAATCTCCATTTTTAATTAGTGACTCCAAGGAATCATGAAGCAGCTTCTGGCGACTTGGTGGGTGGCTTGTAGAAATTATGGTCACACACTCCTAAGTAGTAGGGGAACACATTACAAATCCTAAGAAGTAGACCCTGGAATATTTCCTGGAGAAGGTGGTATTTGCTCTGTGCCTTGAATGATAAATGAAAATTGAATATTAGAACTGAGTTGATGACAGAAGGGATGAGCAAAGGCCCAGAGGCAAGAACCCGGACTGTTTTGCTTGGAGTGCAGGTGTGTGAAGGGGCCAGTAAGAGGCGAGGCCAGGGAAGAGATTGGGGTCACTTGGTTACTGAGGAGGAAATGAGGCACCTCCAGCAGGGTTGAACAAATTAAGAACTTGTCTGGGGATGATTGGGTTCTTCTGCTGTCCTGAGGCTAGAACCTGACATGGGAATGCATCACGACAAAGGCTCAGAATTTTTCTTACATCTGGTGATGGCTAATAATTTTAAAAACTTCCATCTGCAAAAATTCACCATCTCTTCACATATTTAAGATATACTTTCCTTGTACACAGTGTTGGCAAACTTTTTCTGTAAAGAGACAAGCAGTAAATATTTTAGGCTCTGTGGTCTGTTGTGACTGCTTGACTGTCCCATAGCAGCATAAAAGCAGCTGTAGATACCTCGTAAATAAACGAGGTGGCTGTGTCCCAGTAAAACTTGACTCACAAAAACAGATTGTTCACCAGATTTGGCTCACAGGCCAGTTCACCAAACCCTGGTGTAAAGAAGGGCACAATATTTGTTTCCTTTCCAGTTGTCAGTACAGAATAAAAGAGCAGGTAGTTTTGTCTGTCTGAGGGCTCCGGGGAGATGAGGTTGGTGCTCTTGTGAGTGAGATGTAGAGGAAAGAGCCCTAAGATTGACCAGCTTCATGCTGGGAAGTGCCTGAAAAAGCTACTTTATCAGATGAGAATATCAAGTGCTGTATCATGCTCAGTCTTTCTTTTGGAAAATTGGCTTTGTTGCTTGTGATTTAAGAAGCTTTTATTTAATAGAGTCATTTGTTCTTGTGGCAACTTTCCCTAAGAATATTTCACTCAAGCCATTGATTTATGCTGCCAGTAAAGGAGACCACACTTAACTTCTGGGGTACTGACTGCTGTTTACTGTAAAGCGGCCACTTGTCCTTCAGCCACTACTGCTGGTGGCAGGCAGTGTGCGTGTCTGAACAATGAAAGTGTAAGCTGGCGAGCGCAGCCTTCCACATCTCGGGAGACCTTGTTTAGGGCAGCACATGTGGAGATTTCCTGTGATCACCCACTTTAAAAGGAAGCAGGGTCCTGGTTGCTTGAAAGTGAGCTTCTTTTTATCAGATCTCTCAAGGCCCTTGGCCATGGTGAAGCCATAAACTGCTTGCCCCAAAAGGTGCCCGGGCAGTGGTCAGGTTCACACCAAGGTTGAGAATAGTCAGTGCCACCAGGAGTGGCACCCAGAGCCAGTCTTCACTCTCTCATATCAAAGGTATCACCAATGCAGCGTTGATTGCAATGTCCCCAAGGACGAGCTCTCTAAGTGAAATCCATATTACATTGCCCTAGGATGCACTGCCTGAAATCTGAAACAACAGTAAAACACATGCTGTTTGGACCATTTGAGATTGCATCCATTCCTAACTAGATGCTGACCTCCCTTTACCTTTTCTGTCCATTTCTGAAAAATCGTGCTTAAGGAGCTTGTGTAAATGAAACTGTTTTCCCTTTTGATATACATTCCCACTTCAGGTGACCTTCGCCTGCACTTTTGATGGTACTATACCTTGGGTCCCTCCGACAGGTAATTATAAATGGATGGTTGGTGGAGGGCATGCCCATATGAGTGGCTGCCAGCAGTGCATCTGGTCAGTACTGTGCAGCCTGCCTCTGTGTCTTAAAGCCATCAGCCTGCTTATTCTCAGTTGATGTCATTGCATGATAAAAAATGGGCAGGAGAACAAGAGAATCTTGGTTCTCATCTGGCTCAGAATGGTGTGTGCTGACTCTAGGCTCGTAAAGCAGCAGCTGCTTGCCCTTCAGCCAACGCCATTCTGTTTCTCAGAACAGTTCCTGTTTCAGTCAGGGCAGGACAAGCTGTCAGCTCAGGGGAAGCAAGCTGGGTTGCCCTCCCGCTGGCCAGGACACCGATAACAAGGCTGCTTGGTGGTATTTAAGAAGGATCTGGATGTCTGGGAGCTCCTAGCTCTGCAAACAGAGGCCAGTTTTATATTTTACCCTGAAAATAATGTTAAAAGTTAAGATCAAGTTCTCAGCCCATAAAGCCATCTTAATACAACTGTAGCTGAAATGCTTTACATATCCAATAAAAATGGCAAAATCTTTTGAATTTAAGTAGTTCAAGTGTTCAAGTTAATATGATGTATTTATAATATAATTGATGGCATCTTAGTGTTTCCACGTTTACTTTAAGGATTGTGGGCAGGAGATCTTAAGGAGAGTCTAAACTTCCTAGGTTCTTTAAAAATAAGGTTTAGAACACTTTTCGAGTCTTTCTTATGATTCAGAGGAATATTATATCTACTGTTGATTTGTAACTTACAGCTTTCCTTTTCCTCAATAGATCTAGATCACTAATGTGATCTTAATGCTTATCTTCTATGATTTAGGGCAGTTTTTAACTTATAAAATGGAACAATAGAGGAAGATAAAAATGTTTTCTGTAATAACCGATAAAAATTTGAAAGGGAGGATGAGGTGGAGGGTGGTGAAATAGAAGACGTACACTGATGTTTAATGAGGA